GGGTGCGCTGCATCCTGCTAAGGGTGTTCGGCATCTTGTGCTTACTTCCTTGCGTACGGATAACAGCTGCGTATGCCTTCATTTATTTTTTGGTGTTGTCACTTCCAGACAGTTGTGAGCACTGTGTAACTGCCTCGAGGGTGCTTGACCGTTTTAACACAACATGGTGCGATCATCCCCTTCGCGCGGAGTGAGGCTTATCGACCCCGCACAACATGATTTACTCGACCACCATTATGGTTTCCGCCAAAAAAAAAAAACAGAGGTGAAAAAAAAACGGTAACCTGGTTGCCGAGTTCACGAAGTGAATTGGCTTGTTTTACAACGTCGTTGCCAAGCGACGAAAACCCAATCCAGATTGCAAACATCGGGGGGGGGAGGCGGCTTGTTTTACAACGTCGTTGCCAAGCGGCGAAAACCCAACCCCGATGGCAAACACCGGGGGGGACGGGGAGAGGCGGGGGGGTATAAACGAGTAACATTTGAAACAAAAATGGGGACAGACAAAAATAACATGGATATACCCCATCTCCAATTTCAGACAAAAGTTGGGGGGCTCAACGAGACACCACCTCGCGGCAGCGACCGTCCCGTGAGCGACTTCAACCAATCCTATGGTCATTACGATGCATAGAGAACATGGTCAGGGCCCATGCACAGCATCATTAAAACGGATTTTCCTTCCACGTCTTTAGGCACAACACCATGGCGGAACACAAGGCCTCAACAAGCTGCCCTATTTTGCCCCAAACTCCGGAGGGTATACCCACTGGATCTACGATTTGCTTTTTCAGTCACCCACACAGCTTGTTTTACCCCTTTTGTCTACCTTTGAGACTGTTTAGTATGTTGTGCCGTACGGTGGCGTGGGAGATCTACCTTTTGAGGACCCAAAAGTGGACAAAAGCGGGTAATTATTTCGGACGAAAGTGGGTGGTTGAAAAACACGTGGCAGTAGAGTTCGGTGGGCATAAACCACCGAGTTTCGGACAAAATAGGGCAACCCGTTGGAGGCCTTTGCGCCGCCGCGTTGCTTGGCCTGTAGACGTCCAAGAAGATATTTGAAGCTGGTGCGCTTGCTGTACATGGGCCCTGACCATGTTCTCCGGACATCAGGATGACAATTGAAGTGGTTAGACTCGCTCACGGGCGGTCGCCGAGAAGCAATTTTTGTACCTTTCAACCTTTGTGTGGAAAAGGGGCCGATCTACCAACTTTCGACTATTTCCCGACAAAAAATAACTCAAAACAACCTCGAAGCCACACACCAAAAAATCACCTGGTCGAGCGGAGTCCCCTCGATAGCCCCGATGTGGCCGGCCACCAGCCCCTCCACGCCCCCCAGCGCCGACACGTCGCTGAGCTCGTCGCTGAACACCCCGTTCACGAAGACCATCTGCTGGCCCTGGCTCGCCTCCAGCAGGTGCGGCTTTATCGCGGCCGCCGTCTCCGCTGCCGCTGTTGTTAGCGCCGCCGACTTGAAGTCGGTCCGGTAGAGAGACTCTAGGTCCGTGTAGCGGTAGGGCTCTTGCTTGCGGGTGGGCAGGGCCAACTCTGCGAGCTCGGCCTCGCCCGCTCTTTTTTTTTATGGAGATAACACGTTTTTGAAAGGAATGTTTCGAAAAATGAAGAGTGCATTAGGGGCAGGGGACAGGGGTCACGTGAGGTGGGGGGGGAGGTTCTTGGGCGGCAGAAAAGTCGCCGACGGATGCGTGGAAACAAGAGGGAAACACGCTGGGCTGTGATACATATTTCGAACTAGTATCGCCAGACGCAATGGTTAATTGGGGTTGAACCGCGAAAAATCGGAGGAATGCGCATGAAAAAAAACGGCAGACAGAGGAGGTTGTGGTTCGTGTGAGGGGTTTGCACCGTGTGCCCGTAGTCCATAACGCAGCGTACGCTTGCTTTGGCATGTTGTTAGTTTTACCAGGGCAGACCCTGTATGTTGTCGTTAATAACCCTAAACAAATTACCCAGATGGTCAGTATTGGGCAGGAGGCACGTTGTCCCCTTGTGGATAAGTTCGGCGTGAAAGTACTTCTATGTTCAATACTCCGTATTTCATGGTGGCATACCCACTTCACACTGATTTGGTTTTGCGAGGGGGCCGACTTGGAGAGGGGGGGGGGGGCGTCTCTCGATACGTGTCACTCCCCACCGACCCCTTTCGGTGGAATCCTTCAATCCTTCCGTATAAGGGGGAAGAAATCGGTACCTTGTCGATCGCTTCATCAGCGCATACGTGCCTTCACGGCGGTACCCGTAGCGCTTGCGCGCGCCGCTGTTGATGCACCCAATGCCATGCCTGTATCTTCGGCTTACACCGAAAATAGAGCCGGTCGCCCGGTGGTTCAGTTGGTAACCTAAACCTCGTTAACTCGTTAACCTTCTGACTCTGGATTACGGGTTCGAACTCTTTCGCAGGAGCAAAGGAATCGTAGAAATCTAGAGGTGGAGAGCGCCACACGGTAGTCGCGCGTAAACGCAAATGCAGGGAGGGAGCTGCTGATGAACGCTTACCGGATTGAAGATTCAAGGAAAGCAATGGAGGGGGAAGGCGGAAACATGTGTATACCTCGACTTGTATACTGGCGCGCAGACTGGATGAGACCAAGTGCCCACACAAACTGGTGAAAATCCAAGTGACGGGATCGCTGTGGCTGGTCGTTTCAAAACCATATCGCTCTGTACGGGTAAAGGTATGTTCACCGCCCAACGTATTGTGGCTCTTAGCTCTCGAAATACTTTCACTTAGTCGTTTGACCTGGTACAACGAGGCCTACTTTGTACAAGTAGCACTGCTGTGTGCATTTCAATGAAGTACAGCAGCAATGTCCTCCGTGTCTTTGCTTGGAAACTAAAAAGCATGCGTGTGAATGTCAATGTGTGAAGTCAAGTCAGCGACAAACCTGGAGACAACCGTACCATGTATGTGCATTTGTGCGCGGAATAGGATAAAAGCGGCATGTTTTTCCAGCTTGAATTTTCATCTCTTGGAACAACCAAAGAGGCCCACTAACATTGGGTGGCCGCGAGAACCCCCCTCCGATAAGCCTCTTGTGGCCGCATTCATGGCAAACAGTTAGCTCAAAAACATCGCTACATCCACCCAGTACAACTGCTGTTTACCTTTATGTACAGCAGCAGTCCAACAGCAGTCCGACTATCAATCGGCTTACCCAGCTTGAGTCTTCAAAACCCAACTCGCATACATTGCTGTAGGATGCATGTGTAAAACATGCCGCCACCAAGTGTAGGAATTCACGGTAGGTTGCGGTATGGTCGACACGTGTTGACTTCGAGCGCAGCAAACCAACGATGATGTTTCACTCACTTCGAAAGCTCGACAAGGGAGTCTGGTCGAGGAACCGCCCCTTCCCTGATGGCATCGAACCACACCCGAGGGTCGCGCCTCGGTACGCGCACGAAGGGATTCATCTCGTTGTTCGACACCCCCTTCTGCTGCGTCTCCAGCAAGCTCCCGACCGCCGCTCCCTGGTTGTCCTCTGTCACAACGCCCGTGGCCACCAGAACCCTACCCACCTGCCGCCCCGCTCGCGCCGATCGTGCTTCTCCTGTGCTTCGACGACGCAACCCTTCCGCCGCCCCAGAGCCTCCTGCTCCTCTCATGGGTGCCGAGAGAAAAGAGTCGGCGGTGGGTGCCAGGGAGAGCAGGCCCGCCGCAACCGCCAACACGGTCGATACCCTCGGGGACTTGGACCCACCATTCCGGCTTCGTTGTGCTTTTCGTTCCATGTTGGCTAGCACGTCCAGAGGTGGTGATCCTAGCTGATGTCGCAGGACCAGGAAGCCACAGCTGTTGCCAAGTCTACAGCAGAGGATCGGAGGGGGCTCCGTGACATACACATAGAGGTTACCCATCACACGTCATGCGTTGTACGTAGGATCCGCCATCATCATGTGTGTGGATACAGCCGTCCGATGCGCTGTGGCTGGGCGCAAACAAGCTCCACTCGCGACGCGTTGTGGTCAGGAAACGGTGGCCAACTGCAGTCAAGTTTTTCTCATTGAGGGGATTGGCAGCAAATGGACTGCACTTGCTGGGTCCATGCGCTGTGGCTGGGCGCAAACAAGCTCCATTCGCGACGCGTTGTGGTCAGGAAACGGTGGCCAACTGCAGCAGTAAAGTTTCTCATTGAGGGGGTTGGCAGCAAATGGAATGCACTTGCTGGCGAACAGAGAGCAGCCAGAGTACAGGCAGCGTCTGGTGCGTGGAATCTCGGCCGTGTCTTCTGTACGCGTCCATACAACTCGTGGCGGCCTCTGATACTACGATTGACCCCAGGATGTATGTGCACAGCGCGTGCAAAGTTGTGAATCCTCATCATTTGCAATCGGCCAGAGTTTACGCCGAACCCAACGCCGCTGATGATGGATCGTGAAGTAAAGCAGCGTTGATGTGACCGAGAACTAAAAAAAAAATACTTGTATGAGAAACAAGACCGACGCCCTCCCTCATCCGAGACATCAGAGCTAAGTCGTGAGTATTAACCGATCCTCGCGACAAATACAGGCCACGTGGATGTATGCATGTACTCATTGCTGTAGAGAACATGTAGTCTAGTAGGCCGTCAGTCTACATCCTGTCCGACTGTGTACCCAGCCTCGGATTTCTCCACCTAGAAAACGAAACATTCTCGTGGCTGGATCACAGCAGTACCTTGTGCAGGAAGCACATGTAACGTGTATATACAAGGAAACCTCTGGATCATTGCCGTCGTTCACTTATTTAGTGTTGGCATCGTAAGTTAGACTGGACCATATCGTCTACCGTACAGCAGTACATAGTCCACAAACATCTACGGTACAGGCAGTACATAGACTAGTCCACACGCATGTGGTACATTTTCCTGAAAAGAGAGAACTCACACACACACACCTCAATGCACCGCTACTGGCATATTTTCATTGACAAACCAGTTGGTGCTTCCAATGCTTACAAAATACAAGAAATACACACGCACGCACGTACGCAGGGGTGAATACATACATAGCCAGCGGTTATCTCGATCTCGCGGCTTCTTCGCTGTGGTACAGCAGGATATCTTCACGAACAAGAGGGCTTGGTCTAGGGTGTCCCGCGAGCCCCCCCCGCTTCCAATCCCACGTCTACCCTTCGCCTACGTCGCCTTCACCCTGGTGCTCCTCGGTCTGATCTGCTGGCCTTGGCGAAATCATCTCCCCTAGGACTGAGTCGCCGTCGAGTGGACCGCTAATTTTCCTCAACTCCCTGCGGGGATCCTTCGGCATGTCTTCTTCCGCCGCCTTGGCGTCTTCCTCCACCTCTGCCTCCACCTCTGCCTCCACCTCTTCTCCCACTTCGGCCTCTTCTCCCACGTAGGCCTCTGCTTCCGCTTCCGCTTCCGAACCCGCGTCCTTGGCCTCCGTTGTCGTCGCCGGCTTTTCTGCCGCCGGTGGTGGTGCGGGCTCGAGAGCCGTACTCTGCATGAGTCCCCTTGCGACCCGATCAGTTTCGGCCTTGTCGTCGTCACCACGCTCATTTTCGTTTTCGGCCTTCTCGTCGGCACCACGCTCCATTTCGGCCTTCTCCTCCTCAACACGCTCAATACTTGCTTCATTCTTGCCCTCCGGTGGACGCTTGTGTAGGCGTTCGTCTTGATGTTCATGCTGCTGCTGCTCCTGCTGCTTGTGATCCGGCTGCTGCGGCGTGGCAATGCTGTGGCGGCGGTGGTGCGTTGTGCCACGAAGAAGGCAAGGGTAAGAGGCGGGGTGGTTGCGCAGAGTGCGTGGCACATGTAACGACGGTTGGGTCAAACTCAGGTGGGGATAGTCGGAGCTTGACCTGAGTGCCTGAGAACGCTCGTGCTCTCAACGTCCGAACTGATTTACTCATCGGTTCACCATGGATTATTTACGCAAGCCCAACAAGACACAAGGATAAGACACAGAGACACCGCCGGACAGAGAAATCGACTACGTTTCCCCGGAGTTCTAGTGCAAAGTTCTGGAAGAGTCAAGTAGCGAGCGCCGACCAAAAGGCATACCAGTATTTCGCAATGTACAAACATGGTATCAAGTTTCCGGGAGGGATACCCCGACCGCCCATGACACCGTTCCGCTCGACGCGAGACACAGTACACCGCCTTTATAACACAGATACGTACAGTGGTTGAGGGGGAAGAACACAACCCACAGGCAGCGCCTACGTGCACCCGTGCCCACCTAGCGGCGGAGAGGGCGTGGCTCAGCACGCCTGTCCCTACGTTGGAGTTCGGTTGTCGCGGGCGGCCAGCTCGCTCCCCTCCTCCACAAGCGCCCCCCCGTGGCCTCCGATTGCCGCGACGGATCAGGTCTTCTCGCACTTTACTATCTCTAGCGCTTATTGCTCGCCGCGCGGCCATGGTGGAGTTGCGGAGCGTGACGGTGACGGCGTGGTTCCCACCCAAGTACTTCTGAGCCACCTTCATGTCACAGCAAAGGGAAAATAGAGCGCAAGAACAAAACAGACCCAGGGCAAGCACAGATATATTTTTTATCCTCCGGCAGGAAGAACCCCACATGGTTTGGTGGGCTCATGGAAAAAATTACCGAGGCCTAGTTTTTGCGGAGGTCTAACCTTTGCGGATGGAGGGTGCGAAAGGATGTGTCCCACACCATGTTTTTTGTTTTGCGGGTCCTCCCCTCGCTAAGTGGTAACGGGGCACCGAGCCACCGATCTTGAGCGATCTACAAATGTCAAAGGCCGTGCCCCCGCGAGGAAGCTCAGAAAGGGCTCAATCGTGCCGTCACCTCGACTCCTTTTCTGTAGGATTGCAGGCTGTGCTCAAACTTCTTGAGAAACTCCTGCTCCACGCCCATGTTATGGTAGGCGATGGCCAGCACGGCGATTCGATCCGCCCGCGGGGGCTGGTCCCCGCCTTCCCGTCCAGCGTCCCCAACCGCAGCCCCGCCTCCAAACAGCTCTTCTTGCAGGAGAATCAGCGCCGACTGGGCGTGCTCCAGCGCTCCTTGATGTCGCCCGATTTGCGAAAGCACCGCGCATGTGTTGAGGTGGGTGTCAGCCGGGTGCTCTACCCGCGATCCCTTCTCGATTCCGCCGTCGCCGTCGATTTCGCAGACACGAAAATTGGTTAGCGTACGTGATACATATGGGGGTAAGTTGCGCCAAGGGTTTTTCAAGTTACCACTGAAAAATCAAGGTCCTCCGTTGAGAATGCAATTATTGCCAGCTCCAGCGCCACCACAAACGTCGATCATGAACTGTTGCTTGTTGCTTTCGTGTTGACTTTGTTGCTGATAATTAGAAAGTTGGAGAGTGGCTGCAAAGCACCACAAACCACCGCTTATTCCCCTCATATCAGTCTGGATCTCTTCTTAGATTGACGTCTTACAGGTAAATTACACGAACACGTGACAGTTCCTTGTCGAAACAAGCAACAACAAGGCAACACAGTAAAAGTGGACGGGCACAAGGAGAGCCGAACTCAAGTCTGCAGCACGCACTACGCTTCAAGGTAGAAGTTTATCTGGATGTTGTGCCTTTTGAAGGAAATGCGAATGCCCGTAATTTGTGAAGCTTGGTTTCGTGACTTCAAACGCCTGCCGACTAAGGAAGTGTGTGCAAGCAGAGGGTATCGAACCTAGGTAGACTGATTCTCCGTTGGGGGGGGATTCCAAACATGCCAAATCTTGTGTTGATCACTTCCTCAACCGTGTTGTGCAAAATAGGATGTTGGCACACATATCTTGCTTGGGTGATTGTTGCAGAACACAGATTTATCTTTCATTCGAATCTCAGCTGCAACATCTGACATGTTTACGTTACCATCCGATGCAATATCTACTATAAATGTCGTATCCCCAACACCGCCGGCATCGCTTGCTGGCTGTCCGGATGCTAGACAAATCAACCACGACTATTTACAGAACCAACTTATTCAGGGAACATCCCGAGGAGTATGCTAAGCACTCGACGTAGTGAGTAATCCCAACCGAACAAGCAATGTCTCTCACTCAACAACATTCATTGATTGTAGACCAAACCTACCATTTTCGCTTCGATCTTGAGAGCCTTGTGGAGGTATTGTAGCGCGGAGTGCAGCTTCCCGCGCCGACGGTAGTAACACGCGAGGTTGTTGTACGTCACCGCTCGTCCGGCGTTATCCCTCTCGGTAAGAATTTCCGCCTTCTTCAACAGCTCAAGCACCATGCCGAAGTCCTCCTGCTGCAGGTAGGTCATGGCGAGAAGGTTGCACATCTCCCCGACTATCGTACAGGCGCTCCAAACTTCCTCACTGTCGCTCCCAAAGAAGTGCTGCCGAAGCACGAGGCCCCTCTCCATGCATTCCAGCGCTTGCAAGTAGTTCCCCTGTGTTGTGGATGAAGTACACGATCATGAGGAATGATGATACAGTGTATGATATGCATGGCGTGTTAAAGGCTGGCGTGCTAACTACAGTGCACTTGGGAAGATCTTGTGGGTGTGAACACGCATGAACAAGCGTCACACAGCGTCAATGGACACCCGTTGAAAAAATATGTCTCAGCGGCGGGCGTGTTGGTCACTACAGGTTATCCAATGGCTGACTGGACGGCTTTGTTTCGAGGTATGCGGATTAACAATCTAGACTTCGGGGGAGAGAACATGATTGAGCGCCGTGGACGGGATCCGTCGCCGGTATTCCAGTAGTTGGACACGGAAGCCATACGAGCTTTTCCAAACCTGCTGCTGAAGCTGCATGCATGTTTCATCGATGCGCTGCAAGGCCAGCAACTCTACGCTGTCCGTGGCCATCGCAACCCCCTTGGTTTTGCTCGAGACTCGCTGCTGCACTCGCCAGCAAGTTCTCGCCATCTCTACTTCATGTTTCATTTTCGTCGGAAAGCCCCCCATCACGTAACTGCCAGGTGGGTTTCTACCAACCTCTGGAGGCTTTTCGATGCCCCTTACATCTAAACCGCTATATAGCATAGGTAGCGGGGCCCCGCTGGCTCACTCGACAAATTCAAATCGGTGAGCCAGCAGCAGGTGACGCTTGCTTGCGTGACCTCTCTCCTTTCTCTCTTGGGCGCACCCTCTGTGCGCTTTGAGATCCCTATGACTGGCGACATCTATGGTGGAGACAGGCTCCACCAAGTCTATGGTCGAGATTGTGCGCACAACCCGGCAGCTGCCCCACCACGACGAGGAGAACGGATCGGCAGCAGCAGTGGCCTCGGTCCGGGAACGGTACGGCGGCGGCGGGAGGATCTTGGCATGAGCGGGGACCAGACAGGAGCACTCGAGAGCAGAGGTGAGCACCTGCATAGTAGTGGTGACTATGGGTTTTAGCACACGTGAGCTATTCCGGGAGTAGTGTCCATGCCTTGGGGATCCAAGGTTGGCTACAAATCTGTACTCAATTTTCAAACCGGGTGACTGCTGTGCAACGTCGGTCCTTGACGACTGCTGTGTCGACGGTGGAGTACGTGCAGTAGAATACAAAGCACATTTGCCGGTTACAATTCATAGAGAGGCCCTTCAATGCTGCCTCCATTTGCTGCGTTTCTGCGGTTCCCTCCAGCCAGTGGATGGATCGCAGCAGAATGATGCATATTTCTGCATCACGTGTAGTCTACATACCTGCTGGCGGTAGACACCGACAGCAGTGCCGGCACGGCAGTACTCTCTCCGAACGACAACAGTGGTGGCTTTCTTCAAGAGGGGTTCACCCAGCATGTGTCTCCTGTATGCTGCTGTGCGCTGCGCGATGTGCAAGAGGACATATTGTTCCGTTGCTGGTGGCAACACCAACCATGGCGTTGCCGCCCAAGTTTCACCATGTAACATCGCGGGGCTGGCTCTGGTTTGGGTAACAGCTAAATGACAGCATATGAGAGTACCGAAAACATTAGAACAACACTACAAGCTCAACCACGACCATTTATGGCAAGAGCAAGACGTTGGCCGTGGCCGCTGAGCACTTGCTGCTTGGCCATCCGCTGCGCCGCTCTTGTCCCCACACAGGGTCGCCGTATTCTGTGGGATCGATTTCGAACGCCGGCCCCCCGCCGCTGCCGCCGGGAGGGCACCACCAGCCGCAGGGACGCCTCTCCGCACCGCCGCCAAGGCCGGGCCAACACCCTTCGTTCGACGCCAAAGTGGCCTCTGAGTTCCTTCGACTGAGAGAATCCAGGGGTTCTCCCCGTGACAGCCCCGCTGAAATGACGAGCGGAGGAAGGTGGGCAGGAGCACCGGCACCGGAAGCGTTCGAGTCGGACGTGGCGAGAGCCATGCGTGATCTCGAGGTTCGCCTGGCGGCGGCGGCGGCGGGGGGGGAGGGAGAAGCAGGGAAAAGGGGAGGCGATGATGATGCTGCTGCTGCCGTCGACGGCGGCGGGAACCAGTGGGTGAATGGCTCACGGCAATCTTCTTCGTCTTCGTTGCGGCCTCCTCCTCCTGCTCCTCCTCCGCCAGCAGTGTCGGCGCGACCGGAGCATTCTGACGACCTCTCTGCGGGCGACGAAGGCATGCTGTCTCAGATGGATATGCACAGGGTGGTCCCGGGCGGAGGCAAAGGAAAACCCGGTGGGCTGAGGGGTATGTGGAACGACGACGGCGGGGTTGAAAGAGACGCTGCTGGGGAGCGTCGGCGGCAGCCGCAACGAGGAGGAGGCTTAGCAGGCATGCAGGATGAGGAGCAGGCTAACGCTCCTCCCGAAACCGGCGTCGCGACGCCTTTCCCTCTTGGCGACGGGCGAAGGCACTCGTCTGTGCAGCAGACGCGAAGGCAAGGACCTGGGCTAAAGGGCATGTGGGGCGGAGACGACCCCGCTGCTGCTACTCCCGCCTCTTCTCTCCGCCCGCAGCGCCAAGGGCCCGGCCTCCGGGGGCTGTGGTCCGGCCCGGACATGGCAGCGGCCGACATGGCAAGGAGCGAAGCCCAGGCGGCGTATTTCGACGCGTTGACCAGGGATGTCCAAGAGAAGCGGGCATTCTCGAACAATCCAGAGGAGCGGCAGCAGCAGCAGCAGGTACGTCAGTCAGTTTTCGGAAGAAGCTCACCCTACGGCGTGAGCGGCAACAGCGCCATAGAACACGGAACGAGCCTCGCTGGAATCGGGACGCCGCGGGGGGGGGTAAACGCCTCCCTCCAGCAGCAGCTGCTGCTGCGCGGCGGGTTGAACGGGCGAGGCGCTGGCGGCGGCGGGGACGACAGCACGGACAGAGCCATAGACAGGGCGAAGAAGGCGGCGTACGCGGAAGAGCTCCGCAAGCAGATGGCGGAGAAGGAGGCGCGCAGGGCGGCGATGGACGATGACGGCGCGGCGGGTGGCCGTCGTTCGCGAGCTTCCACAGGCGGTCGCGTGGGAGGCGGCGGTGGCGACAATCGCACGCTTTTCACGCCGCGATCGGACGGCCGAGAGAACCGTCCCGGCCATAGCGTGGGAGGGCCTTCCGCGGGGCCGCCCTTGAGAGACGGCTGGCCTTCTGAAGCGTGGTCGACCCCTCCTCCAAGCGGCAGCGGCGGCGGTGGCACCCGCGGTGGTCCGGGGAGCGGCAGTGACGGCCAGCTTTCCGCCGCCCGCCGCCGGCTGGTCGAGGACGTATACGGCGGTGGTGGAATGGGTGCCGCCTTGGGTGGCACGGGTTACCGCCGCGCCTCGACGGGCGACTACGGTGCCGGTAGCGGCGGCGCCCGCCCCCAAAGCGCGACGGGGCCAAGTGTCGTGGGTGGAGAGCGTCTCGGTGACGCTAGAGCAGCCGGCGGGGTGGAAGGGGCGGCAGTGACGGCGGGCGGGGGTCCGTCGTACCTGCGAACGGGGGCGGGCGTGCAGAGCCTCCGTGAGTCCGAGCACGGCGACAGCAAGTGGCAAAGGAGGGCGGCGGCCCTGGAGCAGCAGCGAGCGCTGGAGGCGCAAATCGCCGCAAAGGCCAGCGCTAGGAAGCAGGAGGAGGAGGAGAGGAAGCGGGAAGAGGAGGAAGAAGCAAGGTACGCGGTTGGCGTTTGCTGAGCGACGATCGTGGATTGTTTGTTGGGTTTCAAACGTTTGTATTTTTGCCGTCGAATCGTGTGCAGGCTCTCTCTGCGGGTGTCAACATTTAGAAAGGAGTGCAACAAGATGTGGGGCACTGGCCGGGTGTTGAACCTTCTCGCCGGCGATGGTACCGATTTTATGCCCATGCAGGTTTCAGACGCTGAAGCCGTTCCTATTATCAGACACTGTCCGTGAGGGACACAGCAGCAGGGTGTTCGTGGTGCGGACATATTGCACTGCTCTTGTCCGTGACTGCACCGAATGACGCCTAGCACCCGATCATGTACCCACACGCAGACAACAGCGTGAACGACTTCGCCAGGTAGAGGCCGAGGCCGACGAGGAAAGGCGGCGGAAACAGCTGGAGCAGCAGCAGCAGCTGCAGGGCTTGTACCGACAGCAGGAAGAAGCCTTGAGGAAGAAACGCGTTGGTAGCGGTGGTCGCCGCCAATCGCACAAAGACGACGGGGAAGACGCCGCCTTCTCCCGCGCCCCTGCGCACGGCGGCAGCACGCCCGTCGCGAACGATAGCAGCAGCGTAGGCGTAGCGGCAGGGTACTTCCCACCGAGTGATGGGGGCGGCCGCGGCGATAGCGACGTTCGACAAGGCGAGCTACAGCACAGGCAAGCAATCGACGGCGCGTTCCCCTCGGGCCGTAGGGGGGGCAATGCCATTGGCGGCAGCGGCGGCGGCCGCCAGGCTCAACATCGAAGCAACATCCCGGACGTTGACGATCTCCCGGCGGGGGCGCACGCACGCGCGCAAGTCCTGCGGAGTAGCCCCCCCAATCGCACCCCCGCTGACACCTCCACGCCTAGCCCTTCCTCGTGGAGACCGGTGTCGGCAAGGAGCGCCGTTGGCGGCGGCTTGGTGTCCAAGGAACGGCGCGGAGGTCGTTCGCCTGCTGCTGCCGCTCCCGATGACTTTGACGAAGGCACCGGTCGCGGGGGAGACGCCCCGGCGGCGGAAGAGAGCTTTCCCGTCCGCCGTAGGACAACACCAGCACCGGCGCTTGGAGACAACCGCGACGACGGCGCACGCGGATCTCCACTGCGAGCGCGCTCCATTCTCCTCCCGCTGTCCAGCCCGACGCTGTTCCCTCCATTCCCCGGTGACACCGACGCCGACATCGTGCGGGGGCCGCCGGCCGACAGTCCGGGACTGGCGCAGGAGTGTTTTGCCGGAGGCCGGGGGGCGGCCCACCGGGATCGTGTGTCTCCCGCCGCGGAAGCTGCCGGGGCGGCGGGTGGGGTGCACCCCCCGCAAGACGAAATGGACGCGTTCGTGACGAGGTGGCAAGTCGAGCACCTCCGTCGGCGGAGCCACCAAGAGGAGGAGGTACAGCAGCAGTGGGGCGGAGGAGGAGGAGGAGGAGGAGGAGGAGCAAGAGGAGGAGGAGGAGGAGGAGGAAGGAAGGCCGACGGTAACGATTACTGCTTGCCCTCCTCCTCCTCTTTCTCCTCGCCGGGGGGGAGGGCCGTCTGCCTGTCGCCGTCACGCGGCGCCCTTCCGGCAAGAAGTTCGCGCGCGGTCGGCGTCGTCAGAGGCCGTGGCTTCGCCGCCGTCCCCGGGGGAGACGCCGGGGAGCTGGAGGAGTCATTGGCGGCTACCTCGCGGATGGTCAACCCCCCGTCTCTTCCCCGGCCGCCTACTGGTGCCCACGACGACGGCGAGGGAGACGGCGGCAGAAGCGGAACGCGATCGCGGCGACAACGTCCCGCGGGGCCTCCGAGCGGGGTGGAGGACGACGCGGCGGATCTCAGCGAGCAGTCGCTGACTTCGGACAGCATCTTGTTCTACCTCTCCGGTCAGCAGCAGGAGTCGATGGCGGCCTCCCCGCTGATGGTGGCCGAGGAGGCAACGGGGCGGGAATACGCCAAGAGCGCTCGAACGCTTGAGAACCTTGGTTCGGGAATCGCCACCAATAGGTTAGGGAAGGAGTCGTCCGAGGTGGACGGGCGCGACTACCCGTGGGAGAGCAGGAGCAGTGCGGCAGGTGCCGCGAGTCCATCGACATTGACGTCGCCTAGGACGGGGGCCTCGGCCCGAGCTGACGGAGGCGGAGGCGGAGGCGGCGGCGGCGGTGGTGACGGGGGTCAGATGTCTCCGTTAACACGCCTGCTGGCAGAGACGCCCGTCCGGCTGCAAGCTGCTTCGGGCGTAAGCGCTGCTTCGGGTGCACACGCTGCTTTGGGCGTACACGCTCCGGGCGACTTTCGTGTAGGGCGCGGGGTGGACTCATCAGGCAAGAAACAGCATTCGCTTCAGCCGTTTTTTTTTGCTGAACCTCTCAACGGCTTGTTTGGTGATGTCCGCGGCCACCCGTGCTTGTCCGTCGAGTTCTCGGGTATCTCTATGAAAAACGTGCTACGACATCGCTATAACTTGTTGCTCGTTGGCCCTGCGGCGATTATCCTTGCTCTCCTTGTGCCATTTCCTAATCATCTCCCGTTCCTCCTCTCTGTGCGTATTTGTCGCGGGCATGGACTCTCGCTGCCATCCCTCATTGTGGGGGTAACAACAACGCAGTCCTCGGCCTTTGGGTAGTACATGAATACAGGCAGATAGTGCATCACCCGTCAGTAAACACATCTGACCCGCCCACCCTTCCCCTTCCTCGCAAAAAACAGCACGATCGCCCTTCAGGTCCGATCCTCAAGCGTACCGACCCGCGACGGGCGGGGACAACACCAACGGCGGCCGGACGAAACAGCAAGAGGCAGACTCTCTGTGCGGCGAAGCCTCGTGGCCCAGCCGTGCGGCCGGCGGCAACGACGGCGGCGGCGCCGGCGCTGCCGGGGTGGGGAGGCGAGCGCGGGCTCTCTGGGGGCGTCCAGTCTCCGGGGGCACCGCCGGTTCCGGGGGCTGCGCAGAAAGGGCAGAAGGCGTAGAAACCGTTGCCGAGGCTCTGTCGCGGAGGGGGATCGGGAGGCCCTGGGAAGAGCTGTCGTTATCGGAGGCGAGGGCGGCGAGTCCGTTGCATTCATAGACAGACGTAAGCGGCAAGCGCGCGAACGGGGGCGGGTACTCATGTTTTGCAAGGCGCGCGTGCGGAGGGGCGAGGGGTATACATGCCGGTCGGGAACTGCTATGTCGAAGTATGCTTATTTTGGGCTCTCTTGTGCTTCCTGGAAAGCACGAGGGCAGCGAGCGATGCTAATTAGCGTTCCTTTTTTTTTATTGCTGATGCCATTTTGGAACCGTAGAGCACGTGGCGGCTCCTAGTTGGCTGTTTTTGTATCCCTGGATATCTTCGGTCGTCCCTGTCCACCTTTTTACTGTGGTAGCGCTGATGCATTCAAGGGACGGGATGATGTACGAGGGTAGAAAATAGATCGGCGAAGTTTTTCGTAGTTGCGACGGCATTCGCGCGATGCTCCAGCGGTCCTCACGCCGCCTGTCTCGCAGCTGGGTGTAAGCCTGTACCTGATGTGTGATCAAGCTTTCTTTCCTGCTGCTTGCATTTGTGTTCAGTCACCCGCCACGGAATAGTTGGTAATTGTGTACTTGCGTGCCCGTTTGTTCCAAGAGAAGTGTGTGTTTTTGGTTCACGTTCCACCTTTCTTCGAGAGGCCATCAATATCAATGTTGCCGGGCAAGTGTCGAAAATATATGAATAGTCCGTTGTCTCGCGACCAAAAAAAGCGGTCGTGTTTCTGGTGTCAGCCTCCACTCTCAGCTCGCGGAGGCGGGTTATCTCGCCCTCGCCGAATAATATGTTTTTTTTTTTTTTCTAAAAATGTGTTTTTTTTCTTTTTGTATCCTCGTTCCTGTAGTATCAATCGGGGCTGGCGGACTTCGCTCTTCAGTTGTGTCGTCGGGGATCGATGTGCATGGACAGAGGAAGGAGCACGTGTGGACGGAGAGAGTTACCTCACGGACCTCCGCCGGGGGCGTCACTGAGACTCTTGTAAAACGGAATCGTTTTTGTGTACAGATTGGGTGAGCGTTGGATCGATTGATGATGTGCATGGAGAGAGACGAAGGAGCGACACGTCATGATCGCGGTGTTGGGTGGACGGTGAGGGAGCTTTGCCCTGCCGAGCCTCACCATGAGACTCGGCAACTCTTGAAGGAACGAGATCATTTTTGTGTAGATTGGGTGCTGAACTCGAATCGGTGATGAGAAGCTCTCGATAGTTCGACAGCAAGCACACTGACTGGTCGAATGTTGGGGAGATAGATTGTGAACGGTGTGCCACTTGTTGTATGGGGTGGCTACATGGTGTGCCCTGGGCGCAACTCAGCTACTGTAGCAAAAAGTAGGAAATGGCCCTTTCCAGTACTCTTGAGAGGAAGGATTGTTTTGAAATGATTACTACTGTCGCAGAGCTAAGGTTGGTAGCAGTTGATGGTAAGCTTGACGTGATTCTCTTTGTTCTCCCTCTCTCCCCTTGACGGGAGATTGCACACCGTGGAGTTGGCGAGTTACCTGATACCATGTGCTGTCTCGTTTTTGTTTATGTTTTTTCGGTGTAAAGTTTTGCATGCACGCAATAATAGTAAGGGTACGCGTACGGGGCGGTTGATTCCTGAGCTTAGCTTGATCCCGTCAAAAGTGCCTTCCAAACGTAAGCGCCGAAGGTGTGTATACTGCTGCCATTTCTAGGGACGGCGTGACACTCGCTTTGCAGCGATACAGACGTTAAATTTTTGGGCGGTTTCAACGATACAATGAAGAGGACAGCACATTTTTCTGTACCCGGAGTGGCATCAAGCAAGGTCGTTGTTTCGCCGTTCGCCACACTGCGAGGTAGATAGGTGGGTGGCGGCGGAAATACCTCGCGTCTGGCGTTGAAGGACGTTCACGGTGCCAGGCATTGCACGGCTTGAGTGAGGGTGCAAGAAACGGGGGGTGCAGAGCGTGGTGCACACGCAACCGCACACACATTTCTTTTCCTCGCCTTGGTCTTCAACACTTCGTGCAAGAGCCGGGCGCCACCCCGGTGTCCCGAGCATACCCTTCGAAAACCGTTAACACTCATCTGCTGCTGTCGCTAGGGTGTTGGGAATTTGATTCGAATCGATTGTGGGGTTTCCCACAGTCGCTTGTTCGTGAGGGTACTCGAGGGAAGTGGGGACGGCTGAAGGACCCTTTCTCGCGCGATCAAATTGAAGACAAGCGCCTCAGGAAGAATTATCGTGTGCGTGACACAACATGGGAGCTCCTCGGGTAGAAACGCAGGGGGCCATCGGGTAGTTAGGTACTGGGAGCAAGGGTTTAACACACGGATGGATGGACCGGCGTCAAATAGAGAGAGAAAAATACATTTCACGCCGGTGCATACCCCCCCCCCCCC